AAATAAATAAATGAAAAAATGATTTATCTAAAATTGAATAAATCAATAAACGAATAGCCACGGGTGTTTAGTAACATCAATTTTTGGTTCAATTAATACTACTACCTATTMGCGATATGATGGTTTTATTTGATTAAAAAAGACACAKAAATTGTAAACAGTATAGTGTTGTTAAATCTTAAAATTAAATACTTATGAACACAATAATTACAACGATTTTTTTTATGATTTTTATCTTCTTAATTTTTGATGTAAATACATGAACACAGGCTACAATCTAAAAAATATTGGATTACGCCGGCTTTTAAGCATTTGTTAAACAGGTACCCAATGTTTTGTATTCACATCAAAAAAATGTCAAAAATTAAGAATTGACAAATCATAAAAGTATGTATTACAATATTGTGGTATGTACTCATATTAAAAATGTTAACTGAAAAAAAAAGGAAAACGATAGAAAGTTATAGATTAATTTTAATCCATACAAAGTTACCATACATCAAGTATTATATATAAATATAATAATCCAAACAAGAACAACTATAACATTTTGGAAAAATTAATTTTRTAAAATCAATCAGCGTACAATCGTCTGCAAGTTTGTTTCAGAATATCATATTATTCCATATTATAATTAATTGGCTGTATAACCAGACTTCGCCCAGGAATAAATGAACGTACATGCAATATTATAATCTATTTTAGTGTACGTCAGTTCATGGACAAATTGGCGTCATCGTGTATCTCGCATTGTRAACTATAGTTGAATCGAAATGAGTAATTTGCCTCTGGYGAATTAGATTTACCGTTTTATATATTTTAAAATGTGTTCCAAATTGCTCTCTAAACTTTTACGAGGTACCTTTACGCTTATTATAAACCTAGCGATTGGTTATAGACAAGTAATTAAGTTAGGTATAATATCACCTTCCACTGCTGGTGAATTGCCCATCATATCGGTTTCGTGCATCCCCGGGAAAATCATCAAATCTATAATTAATTATATTTTTGTTTATCTAGCAGTTGCAAAATATGCGTCTCAAAAACGTTAGCGCAGCAGCACATGTACATGCAATTATTTTGTATGCAAACTTATGTCGATGTAGTCTAACCTGAATTTATTCTCATTCACAGAAAACCGCTATCTTACACTCGAAAACGAGAAGGCCTGCTGACGACGTGGAGAGCTGCTGACGACAAAGATGGCGGCCGAGGAAAACGGTCTGCTGTACAACAAGGCCCGGTCGGCGTCCATATGCGCGTTCGGTTTCCCGCCAGGTAGCACCGAATACTTGTTGGCCTGTGCCAAGGCAGCCGCCTCCACGCCTCCGCCACACAGGCATGTAGGCGGCGCGGCCGCCATAGCGGCTGCCGAGGACAACAAGCGCCGTCGGCCGGCTGTTCGATCTCAGAGCGCCAGGACCAGCGGTGGACGGTCGATCCGCAAAAAGGCGCTGGTGGCCGCGGCCGTGGGAGCCCAGCACGTTCAGCATCTCAGCGACAGCAGATCGAGCGTCCGCAGCGGTTACAGTGACCCGAAGCTGAACGAGTCTTCGTCCCAAGGTAATGATAAGACTTAATACTGATTTTATACGACTTAACGACCCTTTTGCTGTCGTAAACGAAGCACACTGCTTGTAGTTTCCTATGTCACGAATATCATTTAGCCTTCTTTTTCGAAACATCATTCTACAATGTTCACCCRTCGAAGCAATATAGTACTTCTAGTTAGAATTCTGAAAATAAAAAAACATATTAAGGTGTCATCATGCATTTCTACTATAATTCAAAACATAAACAATGGTAGGTAGTTTCTCAAATCTCATTTAAAATATTTATACAACCTAAGCAAAATATACTTTCAAAATGGTTTCACAAAAATAGTAATAAGTATATTCACTATAGCTATAATATTTATTGAACCGAGGTACTTATTAGACACTATTTACATAATATATCATAATAACTTGGACCATATTTGCAAATTTCAAACATTGATAGATAAATATTAATAACTACAATTTTTTAATCACCATGTCATCGATATTTTCCAAACACATAACTATAAATTTACAACTGTCTTTAGTGAGTATACGTTAACATTTTCTAAAAAAATTATCCACTGAATAATTTATAGTAGAAAGGAAGGCTGCCATTTGAACATTATTAAAGAAAAAAAAGCTTGAGTATGCTTACAAATATGAGAAATCACCTTGTATTTTAACATACTATATGTCTGCACGATACAATGGTCATAAAAAACCGAAATTATTTTCATCACTGTCGTGCGTTTATATAATATAATACACATGTGTACAATAATATACGTCGTAGAAATAGAATATCGGCCGAGAGACTTTGGCAGAGTATGAAAAATCAGTAGATGGAAAAAAACGATTTTATTCAAACTTATATTATAATAATACCCCGTGCGGGTCGTAAAATATTGAAATTCCGTTCAAGAGAATAATTCACCGTACTTGCTACTATAAAACACACATWAAAGAGCATAATATTATATTATATATAATGGTATACGATCATAAGCGATAAACTATCAGCAACATATGAGTTGAAGAAGTCGTGCATATTTTATTGGTTTTATATGCATTTTCGTCTTCGGTGGCCAGAAAACCATCGGCAGGAGAAGTTTAATATGATAATATTATGTCAAAGAAAATAAGCATTTTTTCATAACCACGTTTTGTTTGTAAAAAGCCTGTTGATCCAGCACGTTTAAACACGCAAATTTATATGGACCTCAGTGGGAAAGTCAGTTATCAATCGAAACCATCCGATAAGCRCCAACGGACTTTTTTACTCCATTCTACAACATGACCACCACACCCTGCCATCGTCGACGTTTAAGTTTTTTTTCAGTCCAACAGACGAGAAAAACGTTCACATATAAATTACTGGCGTACTCCCGCAGTCGTCGTTGTTTTAATTTTGTATGCATTCGTCCGAAAACACGTAAAAAGACATCCAAAAAATTCCTGTTCTCGGATATGCGTTTTTTTTTTCATTTTCTCTCATACACTCGGACGATTACGCTTGGCAGGTTTTTGGCACACAAAAAGGACGAATTTTATTTATCCACTGCAATGACTGAGTTTTTAATTTTTTCTCGAGTGACAAATATAATAGGTAAGACGTTTTATAGCCCYACGTTAGTCGTACAAATAGTGTAATATATTTATCAAATTTAACACTGCAACTACGTGTATATACACGGGACGTAAACATTAAGTTCATAAAAATCGTTATTATCGTTATATCTACGCCAATCCGAAGGCTGCTATACATTAAACATTATAACGCGTGTAAGAGTTTACGATGTAAGCAAATATAATATAATAGGTAATATAATTATTTTATTTTTAAACTTTTGGATTTTCAAAAGATGACAGTAGATTAACCAACAACATCTCAATTAAAAAAATAAAATTTTATACGAGCATCTTAATGTTCTCAGTTTTCCCAATTTTCCGCTATTCTATAAAATGTTAAAATAATATTTTATATTTTAGTTGCTATCTTGATTATAATACTTTTCTTAATCTACTATCCGATATATAAAYTAAGGAGAGTATGATTGGTTTATTGTATCAACAAAAAGTCACTTTTGAGATCGGATCAAGTATCAGTAAAAGCCAAATTTTCATTTAACATTAAACAGTGGTATGAAAAGTRCCTACGTTTGAAAAATTATAATATTGTGCATTTTTCAAATGCATGTTTGAGTTTCTTTACTTCAAATTTAAAAAACAGGATTTGATCCTACCGGAAAAATGATTTTTTTCTAATTTTTAATAAAAAAAAAATTAATGAATTCCGACTATTCTACAGGACATRAAAGTTTTTCAGTTTTCTCAATAAGGATTTTTTGTAATAAAAACCCACTAATTCCGATGTCTTTAATACTACAGTTTTAAAATACRATCACGTGATGAACCCCTCGCCATAATAAGGTTGTTTTTATTTTATATATAAAATCTCAATATGCCTCTTAATCTTATTATAAGCTCATAAAAGTTARCAGGTGCAATAATTATTTCTACTGACATTTTCTGAAGAGATGTYAAACACTAGTATTGTAAAGTAGGCACTTGAGTAAAATACAAAAGAATTTATATTAAAAGTATTCAAATACTTTTTAAGTGCCTACTCTAATATGACGTATTTTAAATGCTTTCTCAAGGAATCAATATTTAAAATTGSTCCATTTTCTAACAATCAAAGCATGATTTTATATCTAAAAAAATTGAATTGTACAATAACATATAATAATGTAAAAATGTAATACTTTTGTTAAAACTAATAACCATTGTAGTTGATACTTAACCAATAATAAAAAAATATATATTTAAATCAAATAAAAATTTTCAAATTCTTTTTCTTTTATATTTTAATATTTGTCAAGTAAAAAAAAAAAGAATAAAGGTTATATAATGATACAATTTTCGTAATAAGTTATATTATAATTTATATCTATACTCAACTGAAAATTCAAATAACTTGACAAAGAAAACAAATTAGCAATTTATAGTCACGCCAAAATACATGATGTAGAATGCTCTAAAAAAATACATAAACCATGGAAATGTTAAAAAAAATTAATTCAGTCGAATATTTTATTTATAAAGTAGATATCTAGGTATAAGAAAATGTTTATACAAAACGTAAAACTATTTAAAAGAATCATAAAAAGGTACATTAAAAAAAATTTTTCTGATTATTTAAATACTTTTCGAAATAAGGCTCTGTACCTGTAGTTAAATACTTTGAAAAAGTATATTTTTTTATGATGTTAAGTACAATACCATATTTATATTATTTTCTGGACAGAAAACCAAAAATTATCATTTGAGCTCTTTACAGGACGCATTCCAAAAAATCTTATATACAATCTCTAAATAAAACAACGTAATTTAAAAAATATAAAATAAGCTTTGTTCTTCAAATCGCGTGCATGGAGTTTTGATATACACGCATACATGGTGACGTTAAATGGCATTAAACTTTCATTGTACCTACTTTTATAATATTCAAATCCAATCTTTTACGTATACAATCTATAAATACAAAGAACTCTGTCTTAAATAAATGATATAACATTCGCGTCGCAGTCGTTTTTCAAGACACAACATTATCACACACATACTTGTACGGTATATTAATCAAGATATGTTCAATCCATGCTAAAAAAAAAATGTTCAATCCATTTATATTTTGTCTATAATAATATGTTTTAAACCATTTTAACCCAAGTTCATTAAGCGGCTTCAATGCAAATAATTACGACACCTATATAATTTATTTAATTGCTAGGTATGCATTTTCTAAATCAGTTTTTGGATTTTACATATTATGTATAATTTGAACTTTGTTTTTATAAAAATCGGTGTTCRAGTTTTTAAATTATTGTTTAATTTACATAGGTGACAAGCAGTGGCGTAAATAGGAAAAATGTTTAGGGGGGCTCAAGCCCCAACACATTTTTTTTAAATTATARTTTATAAGTACATACTTTAAAAAATGGTATCTGTATTTATTCAATTCTAAAAGTAGTTTAGAATCATACATAGTTGGTACATTAATATATATATTGCATAACATGAAATATTTATTCAAATAAATAGATATATTATTTTTTGAGGGGGCTTTGAGTYATTTTGGGGGGCTAAGCCCCCTAAGCCCCCCCCCCTATTTGCGCCACTGGTGACAAGATACCTTTTTTTAATGAAATAGCTGTTATAGATGTATCCCCATCAACAAAGTGATTTACTACTCTATACTCTGTAGTCTAAACCTAAACTTCTTAATCGTAAAACAATATTGTTCTTTAAATAATAACGTTTTATATTTACATATAAATCTATATATAAAAAATATCCAGCATCGACTGCATCCGATTACGGATTAATAAAGAAAAAACTAAGTTTAAATAATTACTAATTTCTATTTAGAAAATGAACGAAGTAAAATGAATGGTTCGGTCTGTATATGTTGTACATAATATAATATTATACAACGCGCGCAGCAATTAACAGAAACACGGCCGCCCGCAGTAGGAGTGGTGATTTACAATGGGAACTTGCCAAAATCGTCGACAACGATTGTTGTTTTTTCGYCGCTGCCGAGCCAAATACGAACGACCGCGCTACTGATGTACCTCTATATACGACAGCTGCGTGTTGTGTATATCATCAGAACCTACGCGATATTATAGATCGTACACTTATCAAACGGCGAAAACRGAAGCCAAAAACGGTGGTGCCATGGGCGGAGACGGGGATAAGCAAGGCTCCACCAAATACATTATGCTTTTCAACCCCCTCCCCCCCTTAAACATTTTGTTGGGTTTTAATGAGACTATATTATCTTTTGGGTTTATTGTGACTGTWTCTTGGTGGCCAATTCTATTTTTGAATGTCGATGGTTAAAWWATGAATTAAAACTTATTTTAAAGTGGTAACAATAGTGTAACTATTTGCTTCTACTTAAAAACTCAGTGGCATTTGGTCAAAACGTCTTACATATTATTATTTATTACATTTTATTATAAACAATACAATTTAAAAAAAAAATCAAAATAATCGTGAAAAATAAAGTCTTGGCTAAAATATAATAACAACATTATGATTTAAAAGGATGGAAATCTTAGAAATATGTTAGCTACATTTCTGCTCATGTTTCGTGAAAATTGATCTTAATCTTTGTTCTGTCGTTTCCACGCAGTGTCCACTTTTATTTTTACTAGTATTATCATTATTATCAATAATTTCAATGACGAACAAAATGTCAATCCTAATCGAATATTACAATACGAATTCGATGACAAATAAAAATGATAATAATAGTGCCTTTAGATTTGAAAATAGATGTATGGTTTGGCAACGGCACGTTTTCGCAACGCTTTTAAAACGGATTTCCGGACGTCTCTTTAATCGCGGCAATCTCTGTACACACACAAACATCTACATTTTACATTTGTTACAATTTATAATATGTGAAGACGCGTATAGCATGTGTGTAAAATGTGTCCGTCTCGCTCCGTCTCTCGTCCCTCTTGCGAGCGCGGAATCGTGTACATATGTATATAATGCGATAACTTGGGCCGTGGTATATACACATATGACTCGCAACTCGTTGCTATTGACAAAGGAACGTCGGTTCATGGTTTTATATATAGAAGCGTGTCTGGAGTGGCCCTTTGGCAAAACGCCTTGCCATTGATCCGTTGCCGACTAGGGTTTTATTTATCATTCATATTTTTATATACACATTATATGCCAGTGTGTGTGCGTTATATTCCTCTTCGGTGAGTATAAATCATTTTAAAAATAAAGTTCCCCTTTTTCAGACGGAACGGCGTTCAAACGGAAACCATCTTCAAGGAAAGTCAACTCGAACCACAGGAAATCCGGGGCGTTCTTAGACGTGCCGCCGGGTGAAAACAAAAAGCTCACAGAACTCGAAGATCCCGAAAACTCGTACAGACTTAGGTCGTTTAGTTTTACGTCGAAAGGTGGGTTAAAACAACACAGAGCTTATGAAATAGTGCACTACATTGTTTACATATTAACAAGAAAACTATATGTGCAACATTATTATAGTGTTTAAATGAGCCGATTGTAGCAAAAGTAAAAATTGTATCGAATCAAACGTTTCTATTAAGATGCCAAGTGATATTCCGTTGTTGGTATATCCAAAATTAAGTCAGTTATAACAATTAAAGAAAAATTTTTTTTCAAAAAACAATTAATATAAAATAATTCATATTATGATTATAAGTGAGTGGATTGAATAGATATTTTAATAGAATGTTTTACAAAAAAATCAAACTACATTTTTAAAATGTATTTTGCTTCATACTTTGAATTCAAATATATCAAACGCGGATAGCGGTTTTATTTGCAACCCATGAGTAAAAATAAAAATAAGATCAAAGGTTTAAAAAATGTTCTGAAATTATTGCTTACATGAAACTTTTCTAAATTAAAATGTCTTAAAATGGTCTATATACTTAAAATGACCTGCCTATATATTTTGTGAAAATTAAAATATTTTTCTAAAAATAACTTTTGAACGACAACGACGTTTCATTCATAGGTATCGTGAACAGGGGAGATTCGTTTAGGAAACGTCGGTCGAGGAGCAACAGCTTGGCCCGAGAAGACGACACTAAGGAATGCACTCCTCCGACCCAGTATGACAATAATAGTCAGCAGATGCAACAACAACAGGTTCAGCATCAGAAAGAGCAACAACATCGTCAAGACGAATGCAGTGATGACATATCTTCATACACGGTGTCACTGTTAGGATCAAGAGGAGTAGGAAAGACCACTCTCATAAGTCAGTTTATGACTTCAGAATACATAAACGCCTACGAGAGGCAAAGAGGTTGGTCGTCGTTGTTTCTAATAATATATTAATTTATAATTATTAATAATAAAATATATACCTAAATATTTATATCGGATTCTTACGATGGCGTTCTCACCTCTATATAATATTTTGATATAATAAATTTACTAGTAATGCGGAATGATCCTTTTAACAAGTCACGCTCGTTTTTATTATTATTATTTTTGATAATTTTAAAGTACTGTAAACACTTTGTTTTTGCGAAAAAATCTATACTTTATTACTTTTCTTAAATAATTCAGATAAATCATTTATAGGTTCTTATTTTTTAAATAAAGTTTGATCATTATAAATTTAAAAGCCCAATATAATATATTAAACGTTCAATGAAAGAGGTATATACAAACGTTACATATTGATCGAAATAGTTTTTGTTATTAACATATAAGTTTAGATAGACATTCAATCTGAAGTCTTGAACTAAATTTAGCGTATTACTATAGTTTAAACAGTATCCTTCACATCCGCTTATCAAACTTAAAACAAAATGAAATTATTGCTTCAATATTGGAAAAAATAAGACTAATAATAGTTTAAAATTTTATTTGCAAGTAGGAACCTAATGTTTCTAGAAATAATTGTTCATCTCCAAAATCACAATACACACTTGCTGAGTTTACATAACGCACCACCACTGCAACTGCATTCGATGCAAAGACAAAATCAGTGGCGTAGCTGAGTGGGGCGTATGGCCCCCCTTGGCATTTTTCTTGGTAATTTAATCACGGTTATATCCTGTATATAAGTGATAAAATAATATAGTATTTATACAAGTGATTTATTATTTATTCGTATTTTAAATTTTTATCAACGTTACCAAAAAGTATTCATAATTATATCAGCCATTTCTCGTCTAAATGAATATACCACGGTTTTAGTAATACGCTGGTATCACACTACCACGGAATACCATATACGTCTGTCATGTCAAAATTATTATGGAGGTAGCTGCGTTATGATTACGGTCGCCTACAGCAGAGCTGACCAACTATGCACAATATCGTAGTATTATTATCAAGTCACTAAAATAATTAATAGCAAATATGGGCGAGGGACGACTAACTGGTTTGCTTTATTAAATATCCATAGAGATATTAAAATGGACGTTGAATCAATCATAGATCAATTCTCAAAAGAAAAAAATAGATATATATTACTGTGAACATTTTTGTAAATATTTTTTTCTGATTTGTTGTACCATTATATATTTATATAGGTACCTACCTATATATATTTTTTTAATTTTATTCTATTATAACCACCAATCAAGGACTCTACTGCATTGGCCGAGGTAGGAGTGTTACATGACTAGGATTTAAATATAATATGTATATCTTACATTTTTATTATTTTTAACAACAAATAAATGGTAAGGAATAATTATTTAAACAATACATTAATCATTATTATGTACGGTTAAAAATAATAAATGGAAGCTTTTGAATTCCTCACAATATATTGTGGTGTATTACAATTTTTAAATAGCCCCCTCCCCTTGATTGAGCTTCAGCTACGCTACTGGACAAAATATTATATCAACTGCATAAACATTTACTGAAATTTTATTTTTGGAAAATTAAAGATAAACTAGGTTATAACCAGACACATAGAATTTCGATTATACTGCAGCCACTATTGGGTAAATTAAAAATCAATATGAACAAATTAATTTCACAAAATACGTCGTTCCCCAAGATATTTATTTTTTTTTTGTGCACGATTTTCTTTTATTCCTGACTCCTTATAGAATGAAAATATAACAATAAAAACAGTTGTAGCTATAATAATTAGTATAGGTAATCATGGTGTCAATAATAATTATTATATTATTATTATGGTATTTTATTGTTATCATAATATTGTATAATTATTTGCCTGGGTAGTGGTGACAATGCCACCGAAACCGAGATGAGTAGACGACCTATTATCCGATAAATGGTATTCAAACATTTCAAACCACTTCCCGTCTCCCGACCTTTCCGCATCGCTAATGCAAACCCTTTGGCGATAGAGCACTATCACTATAACAACTACAGTAGGCAACCAAATACTTTTGTTACTACCACAGACCACAACCTCAACTTACTACAAATACTATAAGTATACTGTCTACTAATATCATAAATTATCGACGATGACGATAAGTTAGTAACCTACGACTTGACAATCGATCGAATTAAAAGGTTTATCAATTATAGATTCTTTGACACTAGGTAAAGTTTTTTAGCGTCTTTTTCCAACCCCTATATGTTTGAATAGGGTAGCTCACACATCATTTTTCCATGTGAAACGAGAAATATTTTTTTGTTGATAAAATATAATTACCTACAGATAATAAAATTGTTATTATGATTGAATATAATTTCCTYTATTTTATTATATTATATTTTAACTTAAGCTTATAATCGATTCTATACCTACAAACATATAATTGAGTAACAGCTATTACATAATTTATAGGTGTATTATATTAGAGGCTTGTAGATCCAAAAATACTTGAATTGAAAATTAAGGGAAGATTTACAATTTAAATTACTAAATCTAAACTTTGGATAATATGTTGAACCTGTTATTTTAGGATGGCTGTTATAAAAATCATACCTAACTTAACCGTTCATTCGTTTATTTTAATTCGCTATTGGTTCACGYAATAACAAAAAATAACTTATCTTATATAATATTATTACCTAACTTAACCGACGTAGATAGCTTCCCATCTTAGTTTTATTTATTCTGGGTATGAAACGCTGGATAAATACTGTTAGTATATAATTTAAACTAATTAATAACCTTTAATACCCTGTATTATAAGTTATAACTCATTTCAGACAACTATGAATCGTCAGTGCAGTCAGTTTGCATAATGTTGAACGGCGAAGAATCTGAATTGAGGTTCATCAATGACGGAGAAGTTTYGGTAAGTTATTTTTTATTTCTAGTTTAAATAAATATATTRTATGAAACGAATATACTATGTATTTTTAATGCATAGAAAACTAATTCATTAAATTTCTTATACAAAGGTTCAATATTTTTTTATATAATACGCTACACTTGTACGTTAAAAATTGTGATTCTCCTAAGATTCTTAAAAATAAAATTTAAATTTGATTTTGACTTTTGTTAAAACAGTTCGAATCATAATATATTATATTATATTAATAGATATATAATAAATAGTATCCCGTTGCTTATAAAATATATTTATTTGATTGTTTTTCTACTTTTTTCTTAAATTTTAGTTTAATATATTGATAAGGATTAAAACTTATATAGCTAAAAAATTACATTTTATATAATTAATTCTACAATTTATTGTTTTTATAGTTTCCTTGTAATTTTAAGACTTGACATATAATTACATATTGGTTGTACTTTTTAAACGGGCCACACATAAACTTGTTCATTATTTTCTTAAATAAATAAAATMAATAAACGTTTGTGAGATTTGCACGTTTAACTGTACACGATCGACCTTTCAATGATGTTTAATAAAGACATCCAAAGTTACTTATATGAACTCACAAACGATTATCAGTGGGTAAACATCATTATAGCCWTATGCGAGTGACATTTAGAAGAGGGGATTTTCTTATAAGTTACCCAGAACGAAATTTGATTTTGTGCCAATCCTAATAAATCTACAAAATGTGTTTTTTTATAGTCAATATAACACAATCGCCATGCAAAATATACTATATTATAATAATATTATATTATTTAATCACAAGCACAACTATAACTAACACTTATATCAGTAGCCAGTATAGTGTGGATATAGCCACTAATAACTTTAATACTATTGGTTTCACGTTAGCATTGTGTGTATTGGATCATGAAATTGATAGTCGCTAGACATTCGTTTTTTCAGAGCCAATTATACATGTGTAGTTGTGTAAGTGGTAAGCACTTACTACATTTACTGACATTTTGTTGATGTACAACATTAATTCAGTAAATTCTATAAACTAAYAATAATTTGTATAATCGCCAGAAATTATGCAATTGTGTTTATGTATATGTATAGACGAAGGAAGACCGTGTGGCTGGGAGCAAACCCGCAGACGCATACCTGGTAATCTTCTCGGTAGTGGACAAAAACAGTTTCGAAACTGCTGAGACAATTCTTAAAAACCTCCGGGAACACGAAATGTTACGATCGAGACCAGTCATATTGGTTGGAAACAAAGTCGACATGGCAAGGAGCAGAGAAGTGACGGCTCAAGGTACTACATATATTATATTATATAAAGAGTGTGTCATAATATACGGATGGATCAGGTGTTACTCGTAGATGGGTGGGAATAGATATATAGGGTAGTGACAGTTTTGTTGGTATACCAATGCAGCTTCAGTGGTCTTTGAGTTTTGGTACAGGACACWTCGTGCGTATGCAATAGAGACAGTTTTTTTCGAACCAGCAAGCAGTCATTGTGAGTGTTGTGACATTCCACGTGAGATGACTGCACGATGAAATCCACTCTTAGCGGGAGGGACCAATGACGCAGTGCGTCCCTCTCCCTCACTATGGATGATGTTCATTATACGAACACTTAATTCACGAATTCTATGGTAGAGATAAAATGTTTTTGTTGAATCCCCTTCCCCCTCAACAACCCCAAGAAATATTTCTATAGGTGGACTTGAACATAAATGTTCAAAAACTTCAGAAAATGACTTACCAAATGTATCCGGTTGACATATGGCCACATTTATTTGTTACAGAACCTTATAAGTACAATAAAAATTTAATTTGATCAATATTTTGAGTTTTTTGTAAAAAAAATCCATCCATTTTATATAGCACACACTGAATATAATATACTTATTTTTGAGTAATAGAAAAAAAATCACGTGGATACTCCATAAGAAAATACATCTATACGTGCTACTACAGACACTCACGAAAATGAATAAAAGTATTCYAAACTATATACGTATATTGTAAAAACGGATTTTCATAACAGAAAAAAATTGACATAAGAATCTAGTATAGTCTCTTGAAACGTATCACCCCATATATTTCATAACATCGTTTAGGATATATATGTTTAGTGTAAACTATATACAAAAGACTATTATCGAAACCAGCATTATTAAAAATGAAAATAATACTCACGAGTATACATTATTTAAGTAGATAACAATCGAAACAGCGTCCAGTACTCGGTCTCTTAATAATAACAACAATACACTATATATTATAATATGGTGCTTACTATTATTTATAGTACTTGTACGCTCACACAATATTCAAGAGTGCATTTCAGTGATTGTGAATTGTATAGGTTTTTCGACTCACCCAGAAAGAGAGAGATAACAGTAAAGTTATATTAATATAGTTTCTTACCAAAAGTTCAGATGTAGAAATGCATTTATACTTTTTAAAATTTTGAGAGGAACACTTATTTTATTTAAATAATAGTTTTTGATATAAATATATATTATAATATATAAGGTGGAAATCATATATGGGACACTCGAATCGCTTGTTATGGGTTATATTTTAATAGAAGTTTTGTATAGTGTCCACAAAAATATGTAGTACAGCGGCCCAAAATTTGATTAAATAGGAGAGGCCTGTATAGAATCGACATCATCTACAACTGTACAGCTGCTGAAAATTGGTTACCTAATACATGTACTGGCTTTACTTGCCAACTCATTTACGATTAACGATCATATCATTAACGATCGTGGACGTTGTCAAGTTATAATAAATATGTATGATCTATATGATAATATGACACAATATTCAATACGCAAAAAATTTATTGATGAAATTAGGTATARTCATTACAATATAACATGAGCTGACATAGTTTAAGAAAATGTCCAACTATTTTACTCTATGGTGAAAATATGCATGCTTAATAGTTATATAAATATAATATATATTCTAAATATATAAGGTGACGGGTAGTATTTATTAGATCAGGAGATGGTCGATTGGAGACCATAGAATTTTAATTAACATGTAACTACTTTTCATGGAATCGTTTAGACTAAATGCTTGTTCAGGATTGGTCAAATAATAAACGTTGATGTAAAAATTAAATATTTACTCTTATATATATGGACACCATTATAAAAAGTAATTACATCATAGGTATTCTTCCACCTCCCACCACACAAAAAAATARCACGTCGGAAGCTATATTATATTCTCRTTTTTATAGTTTGTTTGTTTTATTACTAAATAGTAAATTCTAAAACGTGATTTGCAAATTTACTTTCGAACAATCTGAACAATATTGTTTACATTATTAAATATACAAAGCAAAAGTTGCACGATTAAAAAATAGTATTTTATATCGCTCAATATAATTGTTTGCCATTTGAAACGAACAAGATGGATACATCAAATCTTACAAGTCCGTATAACAAGGGCGCTACGTAAACATCCGTCGAAAAATTGAGCTTTTGTTTATAATTCTCATTAAATGTCATATTTACTCAGACTTTTTTAAAGACAAAACGTAAATCAAGTTGTTCTAAAAAATGGTCAACTTGTCACATTATAGTCAATTGATAATAATTAATACGTTATACACTTATTGGTACATCTCACATTCAAAACCATCTTATGGTTCATAACGCATTTTAAACATCAGAAGTTATTTTAGCTAAGCAAATTTACCGTTTGCTATAAACGAAAAAAAGACATTCGAATTCTCTCTGCTACTTTATAGTAAATAATGTATGAAAATATCTGTGTACATTGACATTGAGTAGATTACTTTACAGTAAGTGTGTTAAATTTGAATTCAATGAAAATAATCATCTTCATACGAGAATATTTGAAGAAGTATTTATCATATAACTGCTACATTTATTAGCTTATTTTCCTATTAATAATGCTGTTGACTGAAGTCATTTTATACCAATCCACTTTTGATCAGTATATAATTCTTTGATATTCTCACCTCCATTTTATTCTTCAACTGTGCATTATTAACATTTTATTCATATTCCTAATGATATTATACCTTATTATATTGCAATTTATGCGTAGTTTAGTAGTTAAGTCATAAGGACAATACCAGATTCGACCAAAATTGTCGATAACCGAAACGAATAAGTTTGTATTAGTACTATAGGTACCTAAATGATGTATGTACTCAGTACTACMATGTAATTAATGATATTTTTGATTAAAATAAACACGATCATAATAATAAATACTACTTTAAAAAAAAAGTTATAAGCTTTGTTGATTTTTATGTTTTTATATTATTACCAATACAATAATTATTTGTCAAGTTTTTAAATAATTATTGAAAAAATTAAAACGTGCAACATTACCAACAAAGTTATATTTACGATTTAAATATGGTAAACTTACGAGTGATAATCTCGACTGGCACTAAAAATATTCTGTACAATTTTATTAGTACGTGTCACATCAATAGTAATTACAGACTTAACTACTTAAGTGACTACAGCTATAAATTTGTTCATTTTTAATATTTCTTAAAAATTCCTAAATATTGCATACTTAAAACCATTAAAAAATAAGTGCCTACTGCCTGAAATATGTCGTTTTCTTAAAAGTATTAATCTTATGAACTCGATTAAATATTACAAAAGTTACCGTTAAGTACAATGTGAATAAAACTTTAAAGATTGAATTTTACATGTCGGAATTACATACTATATAAAGTGTTGGAATTGCCGCAATCGAGATTTATAACTTAACAAATTTCCCTGTGATGTTTGAAATTTAAAAATATGGATTATGTTAACTAAGCAACTAACTATACACATWTAAAAAAATATATATTCATTGCATCTAAAAAGTTACATACTACAAACAAAAAAATATCTGATGCTGCAGACCTACAGTAGTAAAATCGTGTAAAATAATAGTAACTTTAAAGTATACAACCGTCAAAACCAATCCACTCTCAGCGTAAAAAAAATACTATTTTCAAATACTTATCCAAATATTTTTTGAAAAAAATCCACACATACATTGATAGTTTCTTATGTCTTTTTCTTTACGCTGACACGAGCCTATACGAGGCCGTAACGCTAGATTTTAATTTCCAGAAAATCCTCTACCCGTTGGCATCAMGCGACAGGGTGAAAACAAACGTACATGTCCCCATTCTCAATTTAACACCACAAGAAAATATGGTARCCAGTGGCGCATTTAAGGGGGGAAACTGGGGCAAATGCCCCGGGCGCCAAATTTTAGGGGGCGGGAAAATGTTTCAACAATTCAACAAATTGAAAATGAACGCATGTACTGGATCAATGTTTTAAAAAGAGTAGTGGCAATTGTTAAAAAATTGGCATCAAGAGGTTTAGCGTTTAGAGGACATACTTCAAAAATTGGATGTCTACGTAATGGAAACTTTATKATGGCACTTGAGTTATTAGCGGAATTTGACCCTTTTATCTCAAACCATATTTCCAAAAACGGTAATCCCGGTAAAGGTCATACTTCATATTTATCATATTATACTTATGAGCAGTTTATTTTATTAATGTCTAAAAAAGTAGAAAATACTATTATTCAAGATGTCAATAATACTTCAAAATATTTTTCAATAAGTGTTGATTACCATTGGTAGCGCTACCGATTATAGTACTGCCTACTTGCACTACTGTTCAATGGGGGGAGGGGGATTTATAAAAACTATTAACTCGATTGAGGTCAAGATAAGTAAATATAACATTAATATAAAGTAGAGTTACTAATGAGTATTCGATTATTTTTATTAAAAATCATGTACGTTATACAATATACCAACAGAATAAGTAATTAATTTAATACAAGTAGGTAAAAAACCATTAAAACCGAATTTCCAAGACATCTTATTTTTAAATCAACCAAAACACTAAGTTATCTCAAGTCAATCAAACTAGTTATAATATAATATTGTAATCGGGCCGTAGTGTACTCTGTACGAGGTACGCGGCATCATACGGATTAATCCTATTTTTGAACGACAAACACTTATTATTTATAATAGTTAAATTATTTCGTTTCTGTTGCAAAATTTTCTTTCGATAAAATGTTGAAGACACATGCAACTCTAACATTTTGTATTTTTTTTTTATTCTTTTATCAGGCTATCAACTACCTATTAGTTATTTTTGTGTTTCGAACTCAAAATCAAAACTAAAAACGTAATATTGATTATAAATARCAGTTTAATATTATGATAATAAAAATAGCATGTTTTTTGTACAGAGGGTAGATACTTGGCGTGCACGTGCAGAGCAAAGTACATTGAAGTTTCGGTGGGCATCAATCACAACGTCGATGAGCTGCTGGTGGGCATCCTCACGCAGATCAGACTCAAACGAGCTGACCTCGGCGAGGGACACGAGCATTGGTAYAAAAATCGAAACTTCATCAAAGCAAGCCTTAAAGCTAGACAGATGTTCACGTGGGTGTTTGGCAAGGAGGATACGAAAACGAAAAACTGTGAAAATCTCCAAGTCCTCTAGCTAACGTGTTGAAAATCATATTAGAATAATAATATGCGTACTTATTTTAGGTATATAAATTATAATTTATAATATTACATAATTTTTTATTTCGTGTTTCTTGTTTTTGTTTTTTTTTAAATAATTTTATACATGTTATTACATTTGTGTAGTAAGATTTCTACGATGAGTGGTAATATCATAATAATATATTATGCTACCATTGTTGTTGTTCTTTAAATCAACACTTTTATTAATTTAACAGTGTGGATAGAGAAAATTTATTATTTCATAATAATATGAACACACTTACGAACCGCAAGTATATGGATACCTATAACATGTCTTTCTGCGTTATTCCTTCCGATTTCCATCGCACTAGTATATACGTTTATGGTAGAACATTATAGGTGTATCATATKTWTACTGTATATCCACCTCAAGGTCATCTAAATTTTGTGTTGGAAAACAGCGAAGATACGGGTTCGTTAAAAATRTAATCCCCTCTAATTTTGGATTAATGTGCCATGTGAGATTGTGAGAACGATGGATGAAGCCTACAGTCATTGAGGAAGTATTAAAATGTCAAATAAAATATAATCTATAATTAAGACATGAGACGTATAAGTTTCTTTAGATATTTTAAAAACAAACATAAATTCTATTTTCAATATATCTACAAATTTATAATACTCAAGAACTCAAAAATACTGGATACGTAATAACGATACTTAAATTATTAGCGATTAATACGTCTTATTTAAATAACTTTTTTATTATTCCAAAATAATCGATTAACAATGGATATTGATGTTAATTATACGGTACATTATCTAACATAGACCGAATAATACGATATAATTTTTTTAAGTACCCACTAAAAACACTTGGTTTTGTTTTGTAATTGATTAATTGTTTGTTAAAATAGTATTTTTTTTACTTTTTTTAATGTACGTAGGTACATATAAATATTGTTTTGTATTTTAAATTTTTATACAGAATTATTACCTATACCGTAACTATACGTGTATTTTATAGATATTGTTTATTATGTTACATATTTACCACAATACATATTATTTTGAACTAACAAAATTGTTTTTTTATATCCGACATGAAAAATTCAAAATAGTCCAGTGTATCGTAAACATTTTTACGCCATAAAATACTTAGCTGAAATCATCAAAAACAGCTAACGATACAATGTTTTTAAACACTAATGCAGTGGCAATAGTGGCATAACTGGGTAAAAAACTGGGTGGGGAAGGGAAAATATTTTATGATTTTGATTTATGGTTGCAACTGTTTTAAAATMACATGATAGCGTTCTTTGTGAGTAACCATTGCTAGCAATCCATTTAACGTAAGTCACTTATTATTTCAAAAACTATTAACGTTTTAAAAATATTTTTCACACTATTTAAAGTCGTTAAAAATAACATTTATCTAAAAAATATATTTATTGCTTTTTAATTGTTATCTTTTTAAATATTTTACTTTTTCTTAACAATAGTTTGCATTTAGAATTTCCTACTCCAATGCGGAAAAGAAGTTGTTTAGGGATAATTATAATAATAATAATTTYAATTTTAATTTTCTGCGAGTAGGTAGTTAATAAGTTACAAAGAATTAAATATTTGTGATTTGCAATTTTTGAACGGAATGTAGTGAAGAGTTACTAAATTAAATGCCTTGAAAAATGTCGATCTATATACTACTTAGCTTATTAATACGTACTAAAAATATACTCATAAGTTAAGTATAAGGTATAATAAAGATACTAGGTACTAGTACGAAATGTGATTTTTATTGATCCAAATTATCTGAATAATATTTGGCTTCAGAATTAGAAGTCGATAATGTATAGGATTATTTATTTTTCATATTTTTCGTAAAAAACATATGAAACAATAACGATATAAAATGGTTAATATATCATTTTTTTTTTTCAAATATGTTTTTTTACAACGACTTAAAACAATATCAAATGGAGATTCTTACGTAAATGGATGGATCGTCCGTATTATATTGTTATATTGTTGATATGCATTTAAGTATTTTTAAAACAAAACTCAGCGCAAATGCATTGCACTTTCACGGCCACCCGCAATAACGACGCCGCCAAGTCTGTTTATACAGGTATAGGTATCTATACAACAATATTATAGTATTATTATTACTATTAAATCGACAAACGTGTACGCTGACCCATTTTCGTCAGAAGTCGAGAGGATAGCTGCTCTCCTATGTAGGATAGCTACACCGTGCGCGCGTGAGTGTAACGCCAATATTGTTTTGCATCCCATTCTTTCCCCATTTAAAACGTTAAGTTTCTACAAGTTAGTCCTCGGCTCAAGAGTGTACTTGGAAAAAAGCGCTCGACCGCGTCAAGTACTTCTATCAACGTATAGGCACACACATCCACACAATATCAAATGTCTGTGTAAAATACAAATACTTGTCTGTGTGTATTCATGTATAAATATAATAAATTGCATATAATAATAGCATACTGCATTGTGTGTGTATTATTGAATACATAATGCACTTTTAGTTATTCTTTAGTTTGTGTGTGTGTACTATAAGCATAGTGCACCAGACCAGCGCATTCCGACAACAGTAATATAATCATTTGGTTATAATATTTCATAAAACGGAACACGCAGCTTTAAAACCCACGTTCTTTATTGTTTCACGCTCGAATAATATGGAGTTTTAATTTTTTAGCCCAAGCACAATAAATCATMAGTAAAGACCGGGTATAGTTGCACTAAAAATATGTCAAAATTGCAATGAAAATAATACAATAATTGCATAATAAAATTATCTAATTGCTACATAAAATATATTCTTAAAATATTACAAAATTTATAACTATTATTTATTTTCTTAAAAATTATTTAAAGTATCTTAAAGTATTTAATAATTAAAATATATTATTTTTCTGAATTAAAATTTATAGGAAATATAATAATATAAGAACAAGCTAGTACAATTACACGAAAGCAACTGATACTAACAATATTTAATAATTATTGTCTTTTTCAATATACTGTCTATTTTAAAAACTGTGATCGTAACGGGTAATAAACTATTGTTATCGATATCATTAATGACCTATAGAAGTCCATATCACCACRTATATCTATACTTATATTACACCTTTATACTTAAATAATCTAACCAATAATGAAAATCTACAATAATTTTATTATTTTTATATTATAAAATTAGTTAAGAAATATTGATTGGTACATTTAATAACGTAAAATATAAAAAACTGCAAAAAATTGCAAAAAATTGCAACATAAAATGAAATATAAAGACTGCAATTAATACTAATCGTGTGCATGTTTGATTTATCTTAAATGCAAAAAAAGTTGTAATATCAATTAAATCCGGTCTCTACTCATAAGTATGACAAGCTGGGACGTGTCCAACGTGAGTTTCTCAAGTGTATCTACATCATCATTCAGACCATTCGAATATCGAACGATTGATCTRCACGACATACAATCCAATACCTGCTTGGCCACGGTTGCCGATAAGCGAGCCAACATACCTTTTTTGTCCAGACTCCATGATCATCGTATCGACGTGAATGTAATTTTATAGAACCTTGGTTTTTCAATCCCGGATTGAATTAATCACCATCGATACGGGGCCCGTAGTATATCCATTCCAGATCCTTTTTGCAATGCGAATTATATATTATATTAAACAGTCATACTCTACGAATAAAATTATTATGAGAACAGCGATCAATCTTRATTTGAGTTAATACCCACAAACTCACTCAGTCAATACATTATAATATATATTATGAGAATGACTGAATATACAATCATTTGTGTTAAAATATGTTATGTTACCGTTTTTAATATTTTAATACCGACACACATATGTGCTTTAGTCTTAAGATGATTATTATCCATAATATTTATTGGGTTTGTTTCATTTTAAAATAAATGCTACGATATTTATAATTAATATAAAATTCTTTTAGGGGGTGGAGTGGCCGAGCGGACTAAGGCGTCGGTTGCGACGCACGCAATCGCCGGTTCGAATCTCGGTCATGGGCGGCATCGCTCTTTGGGCATTTCGCGATGTCTGGAGAGAGAGGCCGCCGGCCCCCAACCGAGCATGGCAGAAACCCACGGGTGCCCATTCAAAATTCTGCCAAAAAAACCCACGAGTTAAAACCTTACAGTACCTTCCCCTACAGTTCCCCAGGCTAATGACCTCAGTTGTCGAAGCCCTAACCATAAAAAAAAAATTCTTTTAAATACTCGTATGCCGACATTTTGTTTTAATACAAAACGGTCGAAACGTAAAGCAATAATATAAACAAATACTTAGAGAAACATGAAGAATATACACGTAGAAGACTTCAACATTTAAAAAAAACTTAATTTATCTATTTCTACCAGCAATATTTATAGATATACCTACTAGGTGATCCATTTAATGTAATAAGTTTGTATGTAAATACATATTTTCCGTAAAACATGATAAATTAATTATTACAAATGATAAATTCGTTTCACGTAATTTGCAATAAAATAAGACAAATTKTATTTTACATATTTTGTCATAAATATATATTTTTACATACTTTGTAAAATTCTCGCTTTTTTTACATATTTCGTACATTTTGACAATTTCGGTGGTTTAATAATATTTTAAAATTAATCGATACTCGGCAAATTTTAAGTTTATAATAATGTATATAGGAAATAAGTAGGTTAAAATAAATATTAATAACATGATTTTAGTTTATCTTATCTATTTCTGTTCGATAACCCTACTTTACTTAGGTTTAATCATACTTTATGTTCAACAATTATTTGACAAAATATATTTATGAATTTACAACAGTACCTATCAGACTATCAGTTTGCGTGTTCGCGTGGTTATGAAAACATCTTCACCTAAAGTACATTTAATTTTGAAAATTTAAAACAATATATAGTTTGGTATTGTTTCACTTTAAATTGATTAAACATCAATTGTATTTCAATTTAACAACATATTTTTTAAATTTAATTAATTAGACATAAAAAACAATAAATTGTATTATTCAAAGATTATTTAGAATAGTATTTTAATTTAAAATTTTAACATATTTTGGAAATTTTAATTACATATAAATCCCAGCCCCAGTAATAAGACTATAGACCARCGTTTCTTAAACTTTTTTATCCGTGGAACCCTTTTTAATGTCCACTTTTATCGTGGAACCCCTACTTCTTTTTAGCTTTTTAGTTTTTTTTAGGATTATTCGCAAATAAATTAAAATATTAAKTAGAAGTATAGATTATTGAATATAATATAGAGTTAGTTGAAAGATTATTCCATATGGTTTATACATTATTATTTAATATACAATTATTATTTTCCATAGTGGATATTTTAAAGTAATTTTCTTGAACATTTAAAAAAAAATTACTTAAGCTTCGCGGAACCCTGGAGTGTACGCGGAACCCCAAGGTTCAGCRGAACACARTTTAAGAAACGCTGCTATGGACTATAGTGTATACACTTTTATTTCAAAAACTATTTACGGTTAGAAATATATTTTGTTCTACATAATGTTGAGTCGTTACAACGAAGAATTCAAAATAAATATTGTTGTCAATAAAATTTTTTTAATGGTAACATGCATACCTATTTTACAACTCGACTTCAAAGTAGAATATTTTTTGGTCGATTTCAATACATAAAAATAGAATTTTGAATGAGTAGTTAGTTATGGGAATTTATTTTTGATACGTGGAATGGCACGCCGAAAAATGTTGGCTCACTAATATTATATTCTCATAATAAATTAACTAATTGAATTATATAATTATATAATTATATAATTATCGATATTTGATTTTTATAGATTGAATTACTCTGAATAATATATTGCGTCGGAATATAAAATTAAAATTATTGTTTAGAAAAAAAATAATTACAATAATAMAAAATAATTACAATTAAAAAATATAATTTTTTCCAAAAACGTTTTTTGACTTTCGTATCTATTATCTATTATTATTTATTTTTTAAAATTTTTTTTTATTTAAAATAATGATATTTACAATCTGTGTTTAACATCACAATAAGTAAATTGGATAATTTATRTACATGTTTAACTAGAATGGTATGAAGAGGGAGGCCAACCAGTGATGGAACCCAACGTGAATTTATTTTAGATTAACAAATCTCTGCAATATTTTCTTTTGAGCCTATGGATGAGATTTGTGATACTAACGGGTTTATAATTTATTAAAAAGAAAATKTTAGCGTTTTTTGAAATAATAAATTTCTTTCATCAATTGGATCATGCCGTAGATACATCATATCATTACACACCTTATTGAAGATTATTTTATGAATGTCCGTGAATGAATGAATTTATAATAAATTATATTATTTAAAATAATCATGCAAACGTCAGCGCGAATCTTACAGTTTATGTTTTTAATCAGATCAGTTTTCCCCTCCAAATACCATATATAATAGAGCTTTTTACAGATTTGTTCACTATACATATATAGTGATTGATATCATGCAATCATGCTTCATGGTACATAATTCAAAATTTCACACTGATATCGCTAAATTAATAACCTATAGTAGAAGATAAATATACGGATATTTTAATACTTATTATTATATTATAGTCAAATAGAATCGAACGTGATGATACGAGAGACAAAGCCAAGTTTTTTTTATCTTTCGCAGAAACAGAACCATCATCATTGTGCGCAAAAAAAAAAGATTAATTTCTTACCCCTAAGACATACCAAAGTAAATTTTCCCTCGTAACCGGAATAATACACCTAAAAATCATTACTTATTTATTATATTATTGATTTGGATGAATACTATAATATAGCCTTTTCGTTTTGTGATGATACGATAATAATTTTGGTTGACGAAACTGAGGTATACACGCTGAGTGTTCTGTTGTCAAGTGTCAACCTTATACGAGTTTACTTATCGTTATTACTTGTTTATACTTATAATAAAGTCAATAAAATAAAAACAATATTTTTGACAAAAAAGTGTGTTATATTATTCTATTTAGTTAAAAAAAAATTGTAATTTTTATCTTTCACATAACATAATTGTCATAACAGCCAAAAGATGAACAAATTATCAATAATTATTAAACACTTAAATTCATCATTACTATTTAAAAAGTGTTGTGTACCAAGGTAATTTATCTCCCACATATTTCGTTTTAAGATATTTCAGATATTAAATTTCAATGTGAAACAGGGGGAGACATGATAACGGGGACAAAGCCTCAAAATAGATTGGTAAGTACCAATGGGGAATCTTGCCCTTCTTTCAGGGGATTAGTGAGGCCCTAGGATAATATTATAATTGTATTTCTAAATTTTAGCACTGAACGTATAACATGATTATTCGATTATTTAAAATTGATCTTATATCATATTATATTTATATATTATGATAATGATTTTAAAATTGTGTGTATTGCCATGTACGATCAACGCCTGGGTTGCAGAGACGCCAGGTAAATCCAAACCGACAATACTTGATTTGGGTACGGATGCACGTAAACGGCAAGCGCGAACTCAACCAAGGGATTTTCATTTAGGTGCATGCCCGTCGACTGTATGGCGTCAATCAAAACTTCGGTGTTGCTGTACGGTCTGTTGATGGGAAAACCACACATCTGAAAGAATATATATATACAAGCGTGACGTTAGATAATAATGGCTATGTATCTATTTTTAAAAATAAACATAATCATTGTTGCAAAAATCTTTACATTTAAATTTAGCGAAGTCTACAATATTTTAGCTCCATATATAAMAATTTGATTTTTTAATAGCAGAATAAAAAAATTCAGGTAGGTCTTATTTGTGATGTTAGGATAACTATTATATGTTCACATATTGACCATTATGTGCTATCCAAATGAAAATGTATTAAGGCAAAAATATAAAAATGAACTGTYCAATGTCTAAATTAAAYAAAACGTATAGTAATAACATTTTAGTAGAAATTAAAAAATAGTATGAGAACGTATTTTTATTTTTTTTATTTAATACAGATATTAATTTAACACCTTTTGAATATAATATTTAGCGCGAGTTAGGGATTTCTGCTAAAAAAAACTAGTTACAAGATACGTAGAGCCTGTTTCAACAAAACATACGAACAATGTTCGATACTTGTTTTTACAGTATTCTTTCTTATTGGTAATAAAGCTGCATTTCATACAAATATAAGTCAGTCATATTAAGTAAATTATTATTTAAATTAAAACATTTTAAAATGTAATGATAAAAAAGGCGGGTAAGTCGTGGATGTCGCTCTGCTGTACAGTAGGTTACAAGTGGGTTACTGTAATGGATGGAATTAAATTTGGATTTAAAATTACATCAAAAACCAAAATCGATTTTGTCGAAAAATGAGTATGCGTAAAATTCCCCGTTTTTCCTTAATTTTTAGTTTGTTTTTCTCRATTATTTAGAAAAGTATTTTTCACTTTTGACCCCCCCAAAKTACCAACTAGATTTACTTTCTGATCGAACGAGGTACTGAAGTCAAAAATCGAAGCACTTTTACTGCCCCAAAACGTGATGAYAGACAAAAAAAAAAAATTTTTAAAAAAATACCCTCAAAATCCACATCAACATACATACGTGATAGTTAAATGACCGTTGAATATTTGAACTTATGATACTTGTATTTTGTTGAAAATGTAAAGCTAGGTAACATAATGTTCACCTAATGTTAAAAGAAGTTAGTGATTTATCTTTAAAATCCTATGACCCCAAGAAAAAACCGGTTATAGGTTAGGTTATATGAAAATATAACCGGAATTTTTTTTTATGCTTTGATTTAAAATGGTTGGCACGTGACCCAAAAAATGTTCACCATCACCTGCACTATATATAAKTTTAGTCTACCCAACTATCCCCTCGTCTTTGATAATTGCAATAGTCAGTCTATAGTGGATCTATCAAACGTGTATTGCACCTTGTGAGAGACGAGCAAATGTTGCAACTCAGCCAGGTAACCGTTCTCCGCAGTGGTGACGTTCATGGATCCACCATTCCATGTCTCTCGCTCCAAGTTTGGAAGGATTTTTCGCAGAACTGATATGCAATATCTATTCCARACGGTCTTAGACTTGACCCGCCACTTCATCAGCGCGTTTCGCAGCGTCGTCTCCAGCTTTTCCTGAAGAAGACGGGCATCTGCGATAGCTGCCGGCGTGTAGTCCACCGTGTCCGGCTGCACGGAACCCGCCACGGTGGGCGCCGCCTGATACCGGCCGAAAGCCGGGTTCCAGTCCCTGGTCTGCGTTACATCCCACCGGGTCCTGGGTACCGATTTCTCGTACTGAACATTTAGCCATATCTATTATAAACATATAATATATAATATATTCTAAAAGGATTGGTACATATTTCGAGTTAAAGTCTTTGTAGGTAAATATAATGAGTCATGTAATATACTACACCATTGAAAAAAATAAAGTTTTCACAGTGGATTTTTAAAAAAAATAAATATTATTTTTAGACTGTGAGCGTGTTACGCTGAATGTATTGTTCTCTTCAACATTTGGGATAGTAAGAATACTCCAATTGTCAAACGTTATTTCTGAAAGAGAAATTGTGAATCTGGTGAATCTAGTTGATGCATTCAGAGGGTCAAAATTGAAAATTCCATGTAGTTTTCGAAAATATTGACATAATCAATTTGATTTTTTTTATATAGGTATCTAACTTAAAAGCTAATATCCGTAAAAAATTTTAATTTTTACCTAATATTAATTATACTAGCAATTCTACATAAATTATGGTAAAATATTAAGTCAAAATGAGATATTTATGATTTTATAAAAAATATTTACAGTTTTATATTTGATTGTGTCTGCAAGTACCTATGCTTGGATCACACACAATCTCTTCAGGATTTTTTTTCATATACAATAAGATAAATATCATCATCAYTCAATTCAAATTTGATACATCTATTATATTGATATATTCAATAACTACTGTATAGCAGAGCGGTACCTAMTTGTCCACTTTTTTTAAAGTAAATTTTTACGGATAAAAAAACTAACGACTCTTTAGTCAAAATGCCTATAATCAGTATACAGTTACAATATAGAAACTCACATTTTCGGCATTTATCAGACAATATACTTCCTGTACGGGCGAAAAGCTGTCACATGTAGAGTACTTTCGGCCGGTGAGCGGGTCCCAGACGTTATACACGGGGGTGCCGGCTGGTTGGTCAGGCACGGTGCATGATGTCAGCACGTAAGCGGCCTCACCCCGGGACACGCCAGTGCCCAACAGCAACCAAGACCGGATGTTTAGCTTGGCGAAGTAACAGCATAGCAAAAGACCATGATCGACACCGGAACCCCCTCCGAAGAGTAAGCCCAACAATTGCTGAAACATTCAACGGAAATATATTATAATTATACCTATATAGTATATATATGCATATTATAACAAGGTCCAAACAGATTTTTCAACCATAAGTTTCATGTTGATAATATACTATCATTATACAATAATAATATTGTAAATGATAAACAAGCAGAAATATAAATATTAATCAGAATTTGTATCRGCAGTGAATTACACATTAAAAACCCCATAAAGAAATATGAAGAAAGGAAAATGTATTTCAACATTTTTACTATTTTTTCTAGTTTCGAGAAAAATTACTATCCATCGCAAGTGAATTGCTCATCATGGTTTCATTTATCCCCGGACAACACCTAGCAATAAATCTAGTAAATTATAAATAAACGCATATGGAAATCGATTTATCTCGATGGTTATAAATTATAAAACATAAATGTCCGGTATTAAAGATCGGTTGTGTAGTTTACGACCTTCGATATTAGCTATAAAATTGTTTTATTTTTGAGTACTAGTGGTGTGAGCTGCAGTCGATGCACCACGCAGCTGCAGTACGTAAAATACATTTTTATTTTTCTCATATTTTTCAGTCTATAAAAATAAGAAAAAACAAAACGATGACAGACGGAGGAGTAGTTATGAGAATAACAGCTAGAAATTTACATTTTTCAAATGTAGTAAATAACCAACGACAGCAAATCGATAAAATAAATAATATTAAGCCAGAAGTCTATATAATGAGACTAAGAAGAATCTAAAATATATCTAATAACACTGTTTCTCGGAATTGGTCAATTTTCTGCAATGTTTGGCATCGACAATGGCCAATGGAACAGATTTTACTTTTTAGTAAATATTGAAGAAAATATACTAGGTAGTATATTCGATTTTCTTTGCACTCACACTAACAATTATTAAAGACCTTACCATCATATTAAATTGATTACATATCATGCTATTTTATTTCAAACACGTTCGACTATAACCACCTTACCTCCCAAAAAGGAGTTAAGAAAATATTGAATAGCTAATAGGCGTGGGATAAAAACTATAATGTATTATGTATCTATGTATGTAATATTATAAAATGTTTATTATAATACTTACGTCTCCGGTCAACCAGACATCAAATCGTCCGATGAGCAAAACGTTGCTGTTTACCACCGGTATGAGCGATACGAATCTGGCGACCATTTCAGCAGTGGTGTTAAATACATCATCAGAAATTACTAAAAATAAAAACAATAACAAGGAACTTTGAGTGAAAATATAAATAATATAAATATTAGTCATATAACTATACAATATACATAGATGATAAGATTTTTCGATAAAAAAATTGACTTAACTTTATTATTTTATAAGTTTTTCAAAATAAGACGAGAGAGCACAAAAAACTAATCTATTATAAATATAATAGTTCAATAATAATCTGTATCTATACGGCTATAATACGTTGTATAACATATGTTTTGCTTCAGTATAAAACATCAGGATCCGAAATCATAAAAATTTATCCTCTAGATAGTGTTGTACTGTATATGGATTTATTTAGGGACGTAAATTTTATTATTTTTGATTTATCARTATCTATCTAGTAACTATCATYGTACTAATGTATTTTTTATTAGTTTGATAAAAATGATTAGGCAATGAGCCTCATTATCCGCGCGCAACACCCTTCAAAATAATATTTTATGTTTAGTTAGGTGTTTAAAAACTATAATGAGTAGGTACCAAGGTACCTAGTGTAATCCTAAACGAAAATATAATTAATGTTTTTATTACTTATTGATTTTAATTATTGTATAGTCAACGTATTGCATAATGCCCTTAAACAAAATATAAAGTGGGGGACGAGGTGGCTGAGTGGTCTACCGCGTCGGCTGTGGCTCAGCCGGACCGGGTTCGAACCTCGACCATCGGGCGGCATTTTTCTCCGGGCAAGTCACGGTGTCCGGAGAACAAGTGCCGCCATCCCCCACTCCGGGGCATGGCAGAAACCTACGGGTGCCCCAATAGAAATTCTGCCAAAAACTCTCACCCACGTCCACGTGTAAAACCAACCTATAGTTCCATAAGAACCTACAGTACTACCCCCTTCCCAATGGCCTTAGTTGCCGCGGGATAGTAAAAAAAAATATATATATATATAAAGTACCTACCTGGCTACCTATGCATAATAGACTATAGGTGGTCTATGGTATGATTCATGCTATGCAGACAAAATTACAAAACAACTTTGCATGAAACGCTCAAAGTAAACTAGCTACTTAAAATTATATTCAAAACCTTAAAAAAACAAAAAATGACTGCAGGAGATAATGAATATGTATCATGTACGTACCAGGGAGTGGTAATGGCCTAAAAAATCTGGTCACACAAACAGATTTACCGCTGCAGTGTATCACCAAGGTTTTCACGGGCCTTCCGGGAAACTGTTTTGCTCCTTCTGCAGACCAATACTCTAAATATCTTTCAAAGTTGAACGATTCGCTGCAGTCTAATCTCTCCTGTAAATTATTGATAATATAACAAAATACTTAAATACGTAATACAGCGAAATACATCTGAAAGGTTATATGATTAGGTAATAAGATCAAACAATAATAATATAATAATTAAATACAACTATACAATTATCACACGTAAAGACTTTTACGCTCTCAATTACACTGATAAAAAAAGAAAAACTGAACAGTTTAAAAAACGGGCAAGAATGCAAAATCTCTTTACATTACTATTAAGATAGGCTAAGGTTTATTTACAAGAGCTATACAATTAGGTAAAAAGTAAATAAAATAAAATGAGGTAAAAAATAAAATAAATTGATAATTAATACATATATGTATACAGRAATTCATTAAAAACATTTAACCAAATAAATGCATTAATTAACTAGATACAATAATTTTTTTAAATAAAAATAATAATAATGAATGCATCAGTCATAGATTCTTAGGCCACAAATTCAATATGTTTCAGACATATCTGTTTATACTTAATATAAGCTATCTTGGTGGTAACATGTAAAAATAATAATTTTAGCAAACGAACATACAAAACAGATTTGTATTATAATATAGAATTATGGAACAATAATCAAATAATAAATATATGCAAGTAAATATTTTATCATTTATTACTTTATTAGTTTGAAAATAATTTTACTTACCTTGATAGGTTCAGGATGATGGAGTGGCGGTTGAACCATAATGAATAAGCTCAAAAAAGTTGAGTTCCTATAATGAGAGCTTTCGGAATTTGACACAAGTCTTTCATATCCCAAAAGGTGTCTGGGTGTGTTCATTTGAAATACTCCCTCAAACTGAAATAATTTAGATAAAATAAAATAAATATACTGAATCACGGAATACAATTTTGAATTTATACACATTCATAGTAATTAGTTAAAAGTATTTTTAGAATAAATTAAGATCRAAATAGTTATGCTAGCCCATAATAATTATTAACATTTTAAATGGAAATATTAAATATTAAATAACAAGTGTATACATTTATTCAATATTCTAGAGATTGATTTACTGAAATATAACTTATACAAAATAGCACTCTAATTTTAATATATATATATATATATATTTTGGAAAGCAAAAACTATAAAAAAACAAACTTAGATCAATTAGACAATAATAATTTATGATTTTATGATAATTTATAAAACACAAAACATACTTATTTTACCCAAACCATTAAAAGTTTCCTACACCAAAATATATGTTTTTATATTACATAATTGCTTATTAAATGTTGGTTAATATTCTCTGATTCAATTTTAAATTTACAAGAAATTAGCAAAAACACTCATTCAATATGATATAACTAATAACAATACAGTTGATAGATTTATAGCTTTTCAAGAGTTTTGTTTTGCAATATTAACACTCATAATACACTTTCAGAAGGTAGCTAATATTATTTTATTCAGTATAATATTGTACTGAAACTTTAAATTTTATATTTGTTAWATTATTTATTTATCACACATAACTTGTTCTGATTTCCACTTAACCATACAATAATAAACAAAATCAATTTCCATCAAGACATTTTAGATGTCATAACTCAGACAGTCCAGGGGCAAAATAATTATTTTTTTAAATATTATAAAGACAAGGATTAGATATCAAATAACTATTGCTAGAAATAAAATGCATAAACATAAAAAATGTGTATATAATTAGCAATAACTAGAAACTTTTACACATCTTGACAAATAATCAAAACTCAATGAGAATAGCACTTGATCGTAATATAAAGATACTTTAAAATATAAAATAACATAATCATATATATACAGTGAAATCTGAATATAAGACCATAAGAAATGTCTATTATAGACAATTGTCTGTTGTCCAGTTAATCTACTTTTACATCAAGAAATTAAAAAAAAAAATAGTTTTTTGTTTTTCTGAAAAATTATCCTATTAAATATTAAATATTATTACATTTTACATATAGATACATTACATATGTCATATATAAATAAATATATTCAATTAACGTTATCTTGTTCCTTATTGTTACGACTAGTGTCATTGTGGCAAAGTATGTATAAACAACTGCCATTATATTTAAGCATTTACAAGTATAATATGATATTATTCTAATTTCTAAGATTGTAGTCTGTTTTTAAGGTTTCAGTGGAAAACGTTACTGTTTCTGTTTGTAATAGAAAAATTGAAATGTACTAACATAATTTTTTTTCTGGGACTAAATTATTTTGTCTGTTGTAAGAGGTCAGGTTTCATTGTATTATTTAATATAATATAAACAAACTTGAGAGCTATTGAATAATGCTGATATGGGTATAACGCAGCTTCCTAACCAATTTCTCTCCAAACGTTGATGAATATTTGTTTCTCGGGTTCTACCATCTTCTAATATATCAATAACTATTTCGTCATACATATTTATGTGAATGCAGTCATCAATCGATTGAACTTCATTTGGACATAAATCAACTGAATTTGATCTATAAGAAAAACACATTAAAATTTTGTTAAACATTAAATTACAAAATTTGTTTTTAATTATTTTATTAAATAAATATCACTACCATCAATAGAATAGATACATTTTTGATTTTTAATAAAAAAAATTATATTTTAAATTAATTTCTGAATATTTTATACACAGTAGTCTTTTTTTTTTTTGGTTAATAATTATTTGCTTAAATATTGATAATATAATCATTGGTTATTCAAAAAATATAATATCTAAGAATATATTTTAAAAATGCATTACAATAATTCTGAAATAGATATGAAAAAAATATCATAACTTGTAAATTTAAAATTAATTTAATTTTTTATTAAAAATATAATCAATATTTTATTTATAAAAATAATTTTTTTTCTTACAGAAATCATTATTATTTATAGTTTGAACAATTAATAATTGTTACTTAATTATACATAAATAATTATAAAACTAAGA